TGAAGAAAAGAGACTAAAAGCTATTTGTCATGGTCAGATGTACCAAAAACGGATGATACGAGCACATGATAAGAAAGTTCACCTCCGATAATTTTAAGAAGGAGATCTTGTACTTAGAAAGATCTTACCTATTCAAAAGGATTTCCGAGAAAAATGGATGCCGAATTGGGAAGGACCTTATATTGTAAAGAAAGCCTTTTTTTGGAGGAGCTTTGGTTCTCTCTGAGATGGATGGGCCAGAATTACCCCACCCAGTGAATTCAGATGCAGTTAAAAGGTATTTTGTTTGATTGAAAAAAGGAGGGTTCAAGATGAAAATCCAAAAATGATATCTTGAAACCAATAGAGGTCTCAAGTTGAAAACCCGTAAAGGGTGGCTTGAGTGTTATAATTCAAGATTCATGTTTGGAAAAAATCTTGGATTCTTTGTTAATGATGCATAACATCTAGATATTTTATAGTCAAGAAGAGACTTTACATCCTTATGCATTATTACGATTCTCGAAATCCTTTTGACAGAAGCTATACTTGAGTCACTTTGCGGCATGCCAGTTCAAAAGTATTTATGCTATTGATATGTGAAGACGCCTACTTCTTTTTCTTTTACATTTTTCAGAAAAAGTTTGCCATGTAATTATTCAAAAACTCTTTACATTTGTATAAATAAAAAGAGACTTTTCTCGTTAACTCTCATTTTTGCAAGCATTTTGCTTTGAAAATTTAAATATGTAATTTAACTTGAAGTACATAAAATCCTGGGTGTATTACACTACAAGAAAATATACCTTTAATGACACACACTAATTTATGACTTGCAAAATATGTGTGTCATAAAAAATGTCATGTTTCTTAAAATCTGAATGATTTATGACTTACAATAATGTGTGTCATATTTAATAGTCATAATCCAAAAAATTTAGCAAACACACGGATTACACTTTTCATTGTGTGTCATCTCTAAAAGTCATCTTTTAATTCCCCCCATAATTTTCATCATGCATGCTTTCCCGCTTCTAGTCCTCCTCGATCATCAGTTCATACTAAACCTATGTTTCCATTTTTTTCTTTGCATCAGTTCACGCACGCATGCTTCCCCCTTTTTCTCTTTGCATTCATGTTACCAAGAAACATGATATTGAGAGATCAGATGGAGAATGCTTCTTCCCCCAAACCCTACCCCTCCAAAATCCAAACGAAAGAACCCAAAATCATCTAAGGAGAACGCTCTGCCGCCAGATCCAAACTCACAACTCTCCCCCGCCACAACAGCTAAGATCAAGTGCCCCTTGTCGCCATCCTCCAACCCTCTCAAACGTAAGCTTCTCACGGAAAACCTCCATGAAAACCCCATCTCTGGAGCTTCCGATTCCGGTATGAAGGTATTTTATTTTTTTAACCAAAAAAAAAAAAACAGGTCTCTCTGTTCTCTATTCTCCGTTGCTTTAACTATCTCATTTATTTGCTACATTTTTTGTTACATCGTTTATTGCGTGAATTGTAGATTTGGAAGCAAAAGCTGGTACAAATGGGAGCTAAGATCGAGACTCAGTTCTAGGATAAAGTGACTCATGTTTTTGCTATCAGTTCAGATGCTCTTTTGCACCGCGTCAATGAGGACCAATTGGCTCGCTTCAAAGGGGTCAGTTCTCTTTCTCGTCTTTTTAATTTGATGGTATTTCAATGGAATACTGGAAATTCTTTGGTGTCCTGACTTTGCTTGGGGAAAACTGCAACATTTCAATTCGGTAAATTGATAAAGAACATGTAATTATGACTTCAATGATTATTTTTAAATTCATGATTTTTTAGGGTTGTGTTTGGGAACTTAGATTTCAAGAATGAACGGAAGTGTATGTTAAATGAAACACAAGTGACATTCATGATTATAGATTTAGGTTAGTAGTGAATTTGACATATTTATAGATATTTGTAAATTTGAAATCCATATGTTTATACCTTCTACATATACAACCATACTGAACCTTAGAATGCATGTAGTTTGTTCCCATAATTTATATAACAAAGGAAATCCAAATCCAAAATTTGAAATATATATTCTAAACAGATCTTGGCGGTGGATTTGAAATACTTGTAGGTATTTTTGAATTTGGAATTCATCTTGTTATACCCTTTAAAATATATGGGTATATTGAACTTTAGCTAATTTGTATTTAGTGTGTTCGTTTCATTCTCACAATTTATATAGGAAGCTAAGTCCAGATTCATTCTATCAAATTCATCTTCCAGACATTACAGAATTGTTATTTGAACAATTCATTTATAGTCACATCTGTTTTCAATATTTGTATTCAAATTGTACCAGTAATTGGGAATCCATTTTGATGTATTGTTCGTATGTTGGAATTTATTTCTGAAGTGCTTGCTTGAAGTATAAGTTGTTTTGCAATAAATACTTGTTGCAGCATGTCCTGTTGTGTCCGTGGTTGGAGGACAGCTTGGAAGCTGGTGAAAAGGTTTCTGGGGATTTCTATACCCTGAAAGTGGATTCGGCAGGACTGGATGTACCTGACAAGAGTCAAAAACCTAAACTAGCCAACAGAAATTCTTGCGACTATGATGAACAGTTAAATTGCAAAAGGATCAAACCCTCACCCGAGGAGATAAAGCAAACTAACGAAGAAAGGAAAGGAGATATAGAAATTAACTCTGCATCAGCAACATCAGATACTGAGCCTCACTCTCCCAGTTCTGTACCTAGCAGTCCTGAAAACCTCAGTACTCAAGATAAGGATGTGAGTTCCCTGTTCCATTGTTGGTTCTGATGAAAGTTGAAACTTGTCTATTTGGTCCACTCTTTTTGTTCAGTTCAGTTGGTAGAGCACAAGGTTCTTAACCTTGAGGTCGTGGGATCGAGTCCCATGGAGGGCATTTCATAATTTAGAGGTCTCTTACAGAAGCCGCTCTCAACCTAGTATTGGGGGTAGCCTACTATCTTATCTCCCCCTTATCCCATTACATATGGGAACAAGGGACAACCATATTTTTGTTTGCATAATGCAAATAATAGCCTTAAAAATAAGCGTCTTAACAGTAAGGTGTATGCTTTTAAGTTTCAAGCTTTTGTTGTGCTATTACTTGTTTAATTATACTATGTTCGGTGATTAGGTTGGCATACCTACACCTTTGCAGCACAGTCCACCAGATTTTAACAAAGACATCACAGAGATATTTGGGAAACTTGTGAACATATATAGAGGTGAGACTTGGTTGTGCTTCAGATATGTGCCATTACTGCTAGTTACACATTGCTTTCTGAGGATCTAACATGATATGGTTAATTTCTTTCAAAAGCATTGGGTGATGACCGCATATCATTTAGCTACTACAAGGCTATTTCAGTTGTTGAGAAGCTGCCCTTTAAAATTGAAAGTGCAGATCAGGTAAAAGGTCTGTCTGGAATTGGAAAGTCAATGCAAGATCATGTAAGCGAACATGTTCTGATTTGAACTTTTGCTTGCGGCATTTGCTGCTTAGTTTGGTTAACTTGTTTTAATTTTTCCATTCAAGATTTTCTAAGAGGGCAGTGATGTGGGACAGAGGTAGTAATATAAATTACCGAAAAATGTACCTTATAAGTGATTTGCAAAGATGTATAGACCTTTTAGTCTCTTTTTTTTGTAACAAAAACCTTTTAGTCCCCTAACATTTATCCCAGACTGTTGGAATATTCATGCAGATTCTGGAGATAGTGACTACTGGAAAGTTATCTAAATTGGGGCATTTTGAAACTGATGAGAAGGTAAGATAAAAGGTTCCTTTTCAATTTAATTTAGACTACTCTTTTCTTTTTATTTCTTTGGGCTTACTTTTACAAATATAAATTTTCTTTACAATGATTGGCCCATATTTATATTTGGTAGTAAATTTTATGGAGAAGAAATGTTTGCCAATACTTTTCTACTTTACAACATTTGCTTTTCAATCTTTTGCAGGTAAGAACAATAAGTTTATTTGGCGAAGTTTGGGGAGTTGGCCCAGCTACAACCCTAAAATTATTCGAGAAAGGACACCACACATTAAATGGCTTGAAGAACGAAGATTCTTTAACAAATTCTCAAGTGATAGGGGTGAAATATTTTGATGATATTAAGACAAGGATCCCTCGGCATGAGGTTAGACTACTATGTTCCTGCCAATGATTTTCATGATTGAAAATTTTCAGATATATCCCTATCTTTGTGGAATCATTTTTGTTTTCTGAGTGAACAGGCTCAACACATGGAATCTCTTTTACAGAAAGTTGCAGATGGTATTGTACCTGGGGTGAGCACTCAAATTTTAGACTAAACTAAGATTTCATAATACTTTAAAATTTGAATTTTTGTGAAGCCTTATTCTACTGCTAGAAGTTTTATGATGGTGTTCCACTATGTTTTGTACATATAATGTGTATACAGATTAAACTGATATCCACCCTTTCTACTTTAGCTTTTCCTCGCTGAAAGAAAGGACTAGTATAAAAGAAAGTTGTGAAACTAATAATACACAAAATATGGGAGCTTTGACTACTATATAAGAAAAAGGTTGTTTAGTCATTTATTCATGTGTGCTATGATTAGGGACATAATTGAACTGAGTCGAACTGATACATCGCCAAGCTCAAAGTCGGCTTTATAAGAAATCTTGACACTTTAAATTTGGATTGAGCTTGAATGAGCTTCATTTTTCATGCTTGAACCCTTCTTGTAATTCACTAGAGACACTCAAGCTCAACTTGCCGGACTCAATTATGTTTGATAATTTATTAATATGTACATTAATCACTATATTTTATCCATTTACTAGTTTCTTGTTAGAAATATTGACTATATTAAAAATAAAGGGCGGAGAGCCTTAAGTGTTAGTTAATTAAAGTACCCAATCTTGATTCACTCAAGTAGCTCAAGCTTGAGTTTGATAGTAATCGAGTCATTTAATTATTTACTCAGTCAAGCCTGAGTAACTGACGAGGAGCTTGACTGTGTACACCCCTATTTTTAATGGTGCAGTTGGCTATAAATTTATTTTTTAATACTCTTAAGGTACACTTCAGCTTCGTGTTTGCTTATGGCCAGGTACTTGCTTCTTCATTTTCTTTGATTTCATGCGTGAAATACTTTGTATTGATTAATACCGTTTTTTAATTTCTGGGTCCGAATAAAATGGTTTCATTAGACTGGCAGCGGAAAGACTTATATTATTTGGGGTCCAGCAAATGCCTTGTTTGAAGAAAATTTATCAAGCGATCAGCAAGGCTTAACTCCTCGTGTTCAGCATTTATTTGATCGTATAAATGAGGTGAAAGTTTTGAATTTATGCTCATCAATGAATTTGTTGATTTTTTTGAATTTTAAGAATGGACCATTTTCAATAGTTTGTGTTCTGTCCTTCTTTATTCTATAGGAGCAAATTAAGCATGCTGATAAACATCTCAAGTATCAAATCTGCTATTCTTTTCTTGAGGTAGAGTTAATTAAATTATTTTGATTCTTATTTGACATAATTGGACTGCTTAGCGTTGTATTATTCTTGTTCCTTATCACTTCATTTTCAATTTTCTTTTGCAGATATACAATGAGAAAGTAACAGATTTATTGGATCCAAATCAAAGAAACCTGCAGGTAGAATGGATTATTATTTAACTTTTAAGTTTCCATTTTTTACTGGATGAAAATATTGGGATTTTTTATACTGTTCTATCATTTTCATCCAGATAAGAGAAGATGTAAAATATGGCGTATATGTTGAGAATTTGAAAGAAGAGTATGTGCATTCAATGAAGGGATTGACTAAGCTATTGCTAAAGGTTTTTCTTCTTTTTTCTTTTTTTTCCTTTTGGCTGATGCTTTGATTGCTAATTTCTTTATAATCTTTCATGAAGAAGATATTCAATTTTTATGTTTAGAATGCTAATGCTTTTCTTTTTCTTGAGAGAAATGGATTGGACCATTTATTCTAGTAATAAGCTGTTTGAATGAATGATGTAGGGATTATCAAGTAGAAGGACATGTGTAACTAGTATCAATGCTGAATGTTCTCATTCCCATAGTGTTTTAACTTGTGTTGTTGAATCTCGATGCAAGGTAATAATGCTTCCAATGCCAAGTGTTCTATTTTGTGTTTATAGTATTTAGGTTTGAGCCGATATACTTTCTCCAATTACAAATTGGTGGAATCAAATCACTAATTTCTTAGCTATGCAAAGAGGAATTTTCTTATATACCATGTCATTATTTATTTGATAATTTCTTAGATACCCTCTCAATCATGCTTGAGGGATTCAGAAGTACTCTTTATTGTTACAGAGTGTAGCCAATGGTGTAAGTTACTTTAAAACAAGCCGGATAAATTTCATTGATCTAGTTGGCTCAAAGCGACAAAAGTTAACTGGTGCTGCAGAGGAGCGATTAAAAGAGGCAGGCAATATTAATCGTTCACTCTCGCAGCTTGGGTATGCTTTTTATTTTTCCTTTCCTGTCATCCTTAATCTAGACTCTCTAGTTGTTATTTAATTGTACAAAAGGGTAGATATTTTTCCAATTTTGTCATAGTTTGATGCATAAACTATTCAGAATCTTTTGCTTTCAAATAGTTAGCAAACTATAGTACGAATGTACAATTTAGATGCAAGAAACGAGAAAGGAGGAAGGCGAGATTAATAGAGCATTGTTGTGGAAAAAGGCAAGACAAATGAAAAAAGGAGGTTACGACCCGAATGTCAAGATTGTTGTTGATAAAATGGTAAGTTCCTGTGAACATTCCTACTTTATTTATTTTCTACTTATTGTTACAACACCAAGTTAGTATATATATGTCTACTTATTTCAAACTACTTTATTTATTTTCATACTTGCAATAATATTATTATTATGATTAAAATAAAACCCCATGAAAAATAAAATCAAGTAAATATTAAGAACCCTTGGGTTCTCCCTTGTTGAATCAATAACAAGAATCAGATTAGTTCTAGCAAACCTGGTTAAATATGAATCTGTTGACTACATGTTTGATGGTGGCAGCATCAACTGCGAATTAGTGTCGTGATAATGTATATAATTTATATGGGAAGTTTTACTAATTAAATGTGTAAAATTAATGCAAGTACTTGTTATATACAAATTAATGTAAATACTTGTTAGCAATACTGAAAACTGTGAATTCGTGCCGTGATATTGTATATAATTTATATGGGAAGTTTTACTAATTAAATGTGTAAAATTTATTTTTACATATGCTTCAAAGAATGCATATGTAAAATTGGTCATTTTAGTACCCTTTGATATTTATATACTTCAATTTAAATAATTATAAATTATATACTTATTTCATATTTTTTAGTTAGGTTGGTGATGGGAAGGAAGAATACAAAGATGATGACATTGATGATATTCGCAAAGAATGGGTATCTTATGTGGCAAACTTTATTATGCCATGATATTTTGTATCGACATATGATTACAATATTTTTGATAACTTAATGTTAATATATTGTATGCAAATGGATTGCTTATATATAATATGATATATATATTTAGTATTATGAGGCATTAAATGTGATTTAGTTTGATTATTTATCAATGTACAATATATATATATATATAATTTACAACATACAATCACGACACATGAATGTGTGTCATCTTTTTTATTGGCGTGTGCTTCAATGACACGCAATGTAAGTCGTAAATGTAAGTCATAAATGCGTGTCATAAATTTATAACACACAAATGTGTGTCGTCTTCATTTATGACGGGGGCGTCAATGACGCGCAATGCGCGTCATAAATACGTGTCATATACTTATGACACACAATTGCGTGTCATCTGAGATTTATGACGGTGGCTTCAATGAAGCTCATTTGTGTGTCATCTGCACCCATAGATGACGCGCAATGCACGTCATTAAAGGGGTTTTTTCTAGTAATGTTATTGTACAAATGTTTTTTAAAAAATACAGGTTTTCTGAAATTGATAATGGTTTCAACTTTCAAGCTTGTATAATGACATCGATACATGGAAAATAAAATTTGAAGTACCTAGAAAGTTTCAATCATATGAAGATGATCCAAAATATTTGTCACATATGGAATAGTTGATCATTGGTACTGGCGAGGTTCAAGAAGAAAGAAAAGACTATATCTGATTAATGAGTATGAGGTCAAAGTTTTCAGCTAAGGTAATTGGTTATGTTAGCTACAATCAAAGAGTAAGAGATCAAGATGTTCAGTTGAAGTAAATCGATCTTGTTTGTTGTACCCAAAATGAAATGAATCACAAGATGGCCAATGAGAGATGATCCTTATTCGAAAAAGAAAATACACTAAAATTGCATCATTGCATACATTTTAGGCATAAATAGGATCATGATATTCAGAAATGCGTCATTTATTGATATTTTAGGAAACAAAAATCCTTAGATAACCACATGTCCTCATCACGAAGGAACCATGTTATCTCAAATATTTTAAAGATGGCCAAATGTCCCGTCACGAAGGAACAATGTCATCTACCAATCAAAACTCCTTATCACGAAGGAGCTGTGTCATCCTTAGATAACCAGATGTCCTTATCACGAAGGAACCATTTTATCTTAAATATTTTAAAGATGGCCAGATGTCCTCATCACGAAGGAACAATGTCATCTACCAATCAGAACTCCTCATCACGAAGGAGCCATGTCATCCTTAGATAACCAGATGTCCTCATCACGAAGGAACTGTGTTATCTCAAATATTTTAAAGATGGCCAGATGTCCTCATCACGAAGGAACAATGTCATCTACCAATCAGAACTCATAATCACGAAGGAGCTGCATCATCCTTAGATAACTAGACGTCCTCATCACGAAGGAACCGTGTTATCTCAAATATTTTAAAGATGGCCAGAACTCCTCATCACGAAGGAACAATGTCATCTACCAATCAAACTTCTCATCACGAAGGAGTCGCGTCATCCTTAGATAACCATACGTCCTCATCATGAATGAACCATGTTATCTCAAACGTCTTAAAGATGGCCAGATGTCCTCATCAAGAAGGAACAATGTCATCTACCAATCAGAACTACTCATCACGAAGGAGTCGCGTCATCCTTAGATAACCAGGCGTCCTCATCACGAAGGAACCGTGTTATCACCATTTATCTCTAAACATGACCAAATGTCCTCATCAAGAAGGAACAATGTCATACATCATTTTGATTTCCCTTGAATAAAGCGGATCTCTCATCAAAGCATAAAGTTAACTGGACGAAAATTCTTTGTCTTTTGTCTTTGCTCTATTCTTGTTAACATAAAAATGAGCAAAGAGGGGCAGCTGTCGACAGTCATTTTCGTCCCGTTTTTTATATTTTTTATATTATTATTATTATAATTAATAAATAATAAATTTTATTACAATAGATATTTACAAATCAGGACCCGGAGGCCCGATTACTATTTCAACCCGAGTCAGGCCTAGAACCGATCCAGGACCAAAAATAGAACCTAGTAGGTCGAAGACCCATTTAGGGTTTTCTGCTAGAGTTTACACACAGTTCCAGCCTCCAACTTTCTCCAATGGTCCATAACCAATCTAGCAGAAACTCTAGGGTTCACCAACCCTAGAGTTATTCCGGCTACCGCCTCCAAGTGCCCCAACCAGTGATTGCCACGCCACCACCTTCATACTAAAAATTCCAGAAGATTAAGGATTCACCGCACACTTCATAAACCTATGGTGAGTCACAATCGTAGATCCGGTGACTCACCGAATGAATGGTTGTCTGAAGTCTTCCGAGGCCTATAAAAAGCCTTGAAAACCCGCAAGAAAAGAACAGACAACAACACGAAAAGAAAATAGCAGTAGCCATTCGAAAGCAAGGAAATAAAAGGGATAAGAAACATACTTTTGTCGAAGTTCAAACGTCGCCAGACACAATTTTTACCGAAGGTAAAATCTTAGATCTAAGTCGTTTTGAAGTTTTTAAGGAAAAAAATAGGGTGGTTTTGGTTTTAGGGTGTTTCGATCTACGATTTGAGGTATTTTTATATTTTTCGGCCACCATGAATAGTGACCGGCTGCCAGAATAGTGACCAAAATAGTAACCGGCGGTTACCAGAATAATGCCTGGTAGTGGTCGGGCGGTGACCGGCCTTCCCTCCGATGAGGGAGTTTAGAGAGAAGGGAGAGCTTCTCTCTCCTTAGAGAGAGAAGCAAAAATGAGAAATGAGAAATATTGAGGATTTTAGGCGTATTTTGGCCTATTTATACCTCCTCAAAACTACGTAGTTTTGGGGAGGGGCCTCTGCATAATTATAGGTATGGGTAAATTATATATATAGTCCCCCTGATTCTATAATTTTACAATTAAGTCACTGAAATCACATTTTATGCATTTTAATTCGGATCTATAATTTTATTTTATTTATTTTTAGTCACTTAATCATGCACATATATATTTAGGGTAAATACTAAATTTAATTCCTAATTTTCAATAAATTTTATTTTAATCCCAATTAGTTAATTATGATAAATTATACTTTTAATATCTAAATTTAATAATGTTTCGAATTATAGTGATTAATTTTATATTTTATAATTTAATCCCTAGGCTTTAATATTTTATTTTTAAAAAATATTTTGACTATTATAATATTTCATATATTAATAATGAATTTTTAATTTTGATTAAATGATACCATACTTATTTTAATTTTTTTAAATAAGGTTTTAGGTTTTTTTATAATTTAATAATTATATTTATTACATATATTTGGGTTATTTTATTTTATACAATAAATCATTAAATATTTCTTTAACTGATTAGGAATTTATTTTAAATGATTTATTGATATAAAATAGTACCCTTAATGATTTTTATGGGATCATAAATTAAAATTAAATTCAAATTTGTTAATTTAATGCAAAGACGTTAATTAATAAACAAGGTACCAATTTTGGCGTTGTGGGGTGCTAATCCTTCCCCACACATAACCGACTCCCGAACTCATTTTCTGGTAAACAGACCCTTTTTGTATTATTTTAATAATATTTTTATAAATTTTATTAAAATAATATAGTGTTTTGGTGACCAATTATACAGCGATAAATAATATAACATTTTATCTTATACTAGAAGAAAAACATTTACTTTTTCGAGACGAGATTTAGAAAATAACGACACTTGTTTTCACCGGGCGAAGATCGTTTCGACAAAAGCTAAAATCAAATGGCAATGAAATAAATATTAAAATTAAATGAAGAGTAAATGTTAATACTGGAATGTAAATTGCATAAATGTAAAGGATCTAAAGACAATTTCTCTCTTTTTATAAGTTACATAATAATGGAAAATCATGCAATCAGGGTCTACACATTTCAAACAATTAACAAAGTCGAGGGACCTGTTTGGGAAAACACACTAAATATTGAGGGACTGAAACAAGAATAAACTAAAAAAAATGTATGCAAAGAAAAGGCAAAATGGCAGTTTTGGTCCCTACAGGGACTAAACTACAAAAACATGCACAAATATCAGGGGGCTAAACGTGAATATACCCTAAACTCTTCTTATATAAGCCAAACATTTGTTATTTCTCTTCATTTGCAATCAAACTAAAAAAAACTCCTAAAACTCTCCCATTCCCCAGTTTGGCAGTAGGCCGACCGCCTCTGACCCCCTCCGGCCACCGCACATGGCGGCCAGAAAACCCAAAATGCCCCGAAAACCTCACCAGACCTAGATCTAACCTCCTAGAGCCTATTTTAGGACTAAAAATCACCAAAAGCCCCCTAAAACCACTCGAAATCGGCCTAACACTCTTCAACTACTCGGACTCCGATGATCTTCTCCCGACTCAGGTATGACCCTGATCTACTTTCTTTTTATTTTTTGTATTTTTTACTGTAAAAATGGTTGTTTATTTGGTTATATTCGATTAAAAAACTATTTTATTCTTTATTCAAAACATGCAAAGGTTCCTTTTTTTTAGAAAATCATTGTATATAATTTTTACGAAACAGAAGGTAATATGGTATTATTCGAAGACTGAAAAGAAAAAAAATTACTACTGGGTTTCGAAACTAACAGAGCAAGAACACTAAAAAAGAAACAAGATATTCGAATAAAAAAAAAAAAAAAAAAAAGATAAATAACCTTTGAAGGCACTATTATTTCTTGAAAACAGTTTATTACAGTATTTTTTCAGTGCCTCTTTCAAATGTTTAACTCATGGGTTATAAACCCATTTACATCTGAAAAATGAAATGATTGTTGTTTGTTGCTTGTGTTTTGTTTCTGTAGAGGCATGTAGCTTGGTGGCTTAGAGTGGGGCTGCCGAGATTGGTGCAGGGAAAGGTGTGTTCTTGTTGGGGCAAAAAGGGTGATTGCTGGTTGGGGTGAAAATGGTGGCCTTCGGTTGGGTAAAGTGGGCGGCTTCCAAGCTAGGTTAGACTCGGATCGGGTTTGATTTTGGGCCTCAAGTTTGGGTTTAATTTGGGGTTAGATTAATTTAGTTTTGGGTCTGTTTGAGGCCCGATTGGATTTTGGGTTTGTATTTGGGTTTGGGCTTGGCCGGGTTTGGGTTTGTAAAATAATAAAAACGAAAAAAATGGTGCTCACAGTTTCCCGTTTTTGCTCATTGTTGTGAAACTGAAATGAAGCAAAGATACTAGAGCGTTATTTTTGACTCAATCTATGCTCTTCAAGTAGAGGGTTCTTCTCATCGTGATCTTTCTACTGGAAATATGATCCATCAAGTGAGGCGTTGCTGATTCGAAGTATTGTGAATCTAGCAATAGGTCGAACAAGTTCTTCTCATTATGAATTTCTTCTCCCTCTGTCGGATGAGTTCTTCTCATTATGAACTCTCCATCAGAAATGGCAATCCCTCAAGTGAGACGTTGATGATTCAAAGTGTTGTGAATCGAGCAATAGGTCGAACAAGTTCTTCTCATTATGAACTTCTTCTCCCTCTATCGGATGATTTCTTCTCATTATGAACTCTCCATTTGAAATGTTAATCCCTCAAGTGATGCATCACTGATTCAAAATGATGTGAGTCGAGTGATAGGTCGAACAAGCTCTTCTTATTATGAACTTCTTCTCCCTCTGTCAGATGAGTTCTTCTCATTGTAAACTCTCCATTTGAAATGTTAATCCCTCAAGCGAGGCATCACTGATTTGAAATGTCGTGAATCGAGTGATAGGTCGAACAAACTCTTCTCATTATGAACTTCTTCTCCCTCTGTCGGACGAGTTCTTCTCATTATGAACTCTCCATTTGAAATGTTAATCCCTCAAGCGAGGCATCACTGATTTAAAATTACGTGAATCGAGTGATAGGTCGAACAAGCTCTTCTCATTATGAACTTGTTCTCCCTCTGTCGGATGAGTTCTTCTCATTATGAACTCTCCATTTGAAATGTTAATCCCTCAAGCGAGGCATCACTGATTCAAAATATCGTGAATCGAGTGATATCTCGAACAAGCTCTTCTCATTATGAACTTTTTCTCCCTCTATCGAATGAGTTCTTCCCATTATGAACTGTCCATTTGAAATGTTAATCTCTCAAGCGAGGCGTCATTGATTCAAAATTCCGTGAATCGAGTGATAGGTCGAACAAGTTCTTCTCATTATGAACTTCTTCTCCCTCTTTTGGACGAGTTCTTCTCATTATGAACTCTCCATCGGAAATGTTAATTTCTCAAATTTGTCGTCACTTATTTGAAATGTCGTGAATCGAGCGATAGGTCGAACAAGCTATTCTCATTATGAACTTCCTCTCCCTCTGTTGGATGAGTTCTTCTCATTATGAAATCTCTATTGGAAATGTTGATTGGTTTATCTTCCCTTTGAAGATTTTTAAACCTGCAAAAGATTATTATATGTCAGTAATAGTGCTGGGTATACGGGCTACCCCCCCCCGTTTAGCCCGCGGGTTTTGATGGTGCGGGCTTAAACGATAAGGGTTAAAAATCCCGCAATCATAAACGATCTTGAATTTTAAGGCCCGTCCATTTAACCCGCGGGCTAAACGGGCTTACCCGCACCCCGTTAAAATAGGTAAATTTTTAAAATTGTATCGATCCCAAAAACATCGAAACTGATAATTATAATGTAATAGGTAAATTTACAATGTAACCGGTAGAAATATACTGGTTAATTAGAAAATATGTCAACATAATGTATCGATACATTTTTAAATTGTGTCGATACTTTTTGTTCAGAATAAATGCCAAACGAGGTGCACACATAAAGTGTAGATACATTTATTAAAAGTATCGACCCCAAAAACATCAAAACGGATAATTATAATGTAATAGATAAATTTACAATGTAACCGATAGAAATATACCGGTTAATTAGAAAATAGATCAACATAATGTATCGACACTTTTTAAATTGTGTCGATACTTTTTGTCCATAATGAATGCCAAACGAGGTGCATTGCTTTAGTTACTGATCTATACCCTTAACCCTTTTACAACTGTAATTTATATTTTTACAAACAGGAAACAATTTTAACCAGATTTCAAATAATTGTATTGTGTATAGATTACTGGGAGCAAAAGAATAATTGGGGATTAATTCACACACACATTCAGAATTATCTCTCCATTTTTATTTTAGAATTACACGGTTTGATGCTATTTGTTTCTTTAAAGAACCAAATCATATCTGAATTTTAAAGATTTGGATAAATATCTCCACTATTTTAATCTATTAACAACCAATAATTAAACTTAATCATGCACAACAGGATTTAAAAATTTGAATTGTAAAACATAAAATAAATTAAAAAAATAAATAAATTAAGCGGGCTACCCGCGGGTATACCCATTAAACCCATGGGTTTAACGGTCCAGGCTAAAAAGCCCGCAATCATAAACGGTCTTGAATTTTAAGGCCCGAAACCCACACGGGCCGCGGGTTAAACGGGTAGCCCGCGGGCCTTAGCCCATATACCCAGCTCTAGTCAGTAATAATTGTGTTTGAAGCACCCGAAGGTATTGACCCAAAGGTCCTTGAATTTTGCTGAGATCCATTTCTTTCAATGGTTAAAAATATGGATTGATTCTTTGTTGAAGTCGTGAAATGAAATCTCTGTTGGCTCCCTGAATTATATCGTCCAGTGAATCTTTTATCCTTTATCTGTGCTGAGTTTTTGTCTTTGTTGGGTCCATCCCAAGAGCGACACTACTCACTCACATTGAACCAATCCCCAAATCAACAAAATGATTCTTTTCGATTATGCTCCTCGATCTTTGAGGCTTAGCCACTTTGAACAAAATCCCCTCCATTCGAGGCTCGAACATGTTTTTTCTTCGCTCTCTCCTTTCTTTGGACAATCCGTAAAAATCTGTCTTGATGCATGAAAATGTGAATGCAATAGATATGTATGTAATGAATGAAGTTATTGAATGCAAAAATGTTGATCATCAATTCTTCTTTTGGATCAAAGTGTAGGCCTCAGTCTTCCTTCACTTGATTATCTTTGCATGGAACATGCCTCAATATAGAGGTAGCAACTTGCCAGCCCAGGTTTGTAATCTTTTGAGGATCAACCTGATCATCTTGTGGTCTTTATTTTCTGCCTTCATTTCAAAGGAAATGTTTTCTCTCTCGAATTCTTGTTATGACCAGGTGTATGGCCTTGACGCCATTTCTTTCCCTGACTTGATTGCTCGATCAAATTTGTTTCTCCAAACAGGTCTTCCAACTGAAGCATGAATGGTTTATTTCTTAAGGTATGATCTTTTTGTTTACATCTTTCGACCCTGGCACTCCAAGCGATGAGGGTCATTCACCATGTCTGTTTGTTTTGAATCTTGTGATCTTAACGACATCTGGTTTAGGTAATCCCCAATGTGGGTACTCATGACTCTCTTTGTGCCAAAACCTTAATCTCGAATGGTCTCACTCTTGTGCCGCTAATCAGCAATGTTATTGAATAGCTTCAGGGCTTCTCTTCATGTTGCGACAACCAGATAGACACTTAAGAAGTGATCAATTCTTCTAACATAAATGTCTTGAATCTTTACCCCGAGCTGAGATACGTGCCCCTTTCGACTAAGGTGATCATCTTCTTCTGACAACGTCACAAGGAAGTGTTAGAAGTTTTATCCTCCAGTCCTTATGGTCTCTCGGACTATTTGCTTTTAAGAAATGTTTCGTTATTCAAGCATCATTTGTTTTTTTATCTGATAGAGGCAGAATGAGCCTCGCCAGCTTCAAGAACCTTTTTCACTTGAGATTGTCATGTTTGAAAATGTTTTTTCTTTTTTTTTTATTTTAAAATTGTGAAAAAATTGTTGAATATAATTCAAAAGTGTTGTCATTTTCTTCCGGTTCACAATCAAAACAAATTGTAAAACAAGAGTTCATTGAATATCAAATAAGTCAAATTTTCTTTTTATCCTTCAAAAATTATATACATTTGAAAAGTGTAAAGATTAATGTTGATATAAGGCTTAGGCTTACTTGGGAAGGTAATGTGTTTCAGGTTAATTTGGGGAGGTAATGTGTTTCAGGCTGGCTTCTTTGGTTGAAATCTTGTATCCTTGATTCTGGTGATGATGAAGTAGCCGTTATGTTTATCTTCTGGAAGTGTTCATCGGTTCCCAGCCCTCGTGTTCGCTTTTGGGTTATGCAATGCTTTATCAAAATGTATAAGATCGTCTTTTGTGCAGTGGTTGACAATCTTCGTGTTCGAGCTGTCTTTTCAATTTTCAACTCGAATTCTCCTTTGGTTTCAAGATGTCATCTAAAATTTTATATCTTGAACCCTCGTTTTATTATTTTTCACTATCATGCATTAAAAATTTTAGAAAACTAATTTTTGCAAATAAAATTAACCCTGAGGTGCGGAATGAAATGTGAAGATAGTGTTTAAAAATTTTAGAAAACTAATTTTTGAAAACTATTTTTCACTATCATGCATTAAAAATTTTAGAAATCCATGTATGATTAGAAGAGACTTTTCATGCATGTAACGTAGGTCGGGGCTCACGATTATGAAAGAAAGGGATAAATAGGCCCAAACAAGTGTTTAAGGGTTATTGAACCAAGGATCGATTCGTTCTGTTGTCTTCAATCTTGTCTTACTTAACTTGAATCTGCTCGTATGTCTTTTATTTTATTTTATTTTGGTGATCTTTGATCTTCTAGCAAATTGATTCTAGATATTTGAACTGCTCGTCTTGAAGTATTTGATCGTTTTCTTTCCCTTTTTTTTCTTTTTTTTTCTTTTTTTGTTTCTTTATTTTCTCTCTTTTTTATGTTTTTTTGTTATATCTCTTTTTTTTCTTTTCTCGTATTTTGTCCACCTTGTGGTATCTTTTTATTTTTTACAATAACTTACCTCTGTAACAAAATTTGGATTGTTGGCTTTCGCTTATGTGAGCAGATTTCCTTCACCTTGCCCCCTGTGTGGAGGGTGATCATTGGTTAGGGTTGAATCATAAGAAAAATACTATAGGCTCAAAAAGGGATAACAAGGGATATATATATTTGAAAGGATAAATGAAACAAAGTCGTTCGTCATCTCATACACAGAAGTCTTTGTAAAAGAGGTATCCCCAAGGGGACGAGTATTCAGGATTAACCTTATTTACATGAAGACAATGTAATTAATGCATGATAGAATTATTTCAATGATTCCCTTTATTTCTACTTCACTTTGCTCCTAGTATGCCCCAATTATTCAAATTCTCTTGCAAAAACTTGATGTGTAACACTCCCTTTTATCTTTCTTGCAAGAATGGTTCTTGTTATGCCCCCATGATTTATCGAGGTTGGGAAATGAATGTTGGTTTTGTGTCTAGGAAAGGAAATGTGTGACTTTAAAGTCGTAATTATGAAAAAGGTAATGTTATGGAAAGGTTATTTCTGTCTGGGAAGGTAAAAGTACAGATTTTGGTGCCTCGAGGAGGATAGAGGCATGACTTTATGGTTTCAGGGGGAAGTGATATCAAGGTTCAGTCTTTTGGTAGTAAACATGTGTTATTTCGGGTAAGGAACCAAGTAGTGGTTCTTTCGGCTTTGGATGGGGTATGGAAGGTTTAATCTTGCCACTTATCAAAGATCTGTGATTAATGAAGTAGTTAAAGAACCTTTAAGTCATTCGATATTCAAATAATTACAAGATTAAAACGTGATTTATTACTCATAACCTTGGAAAAAACATAAGTTCAATCAACAAAATATGTATTGAGAAAATAAAGAAAGAAGAAAAACACGTTCAAACAGGAAAAAGCCAGTGCCATAAGGTTTCATAATGGATGAAATAAAATTTCCTGGTTCACACCAGGATGTCTCATTATTAAAGGTTTATGCTCCTGGGCTAATTAAGTTTTGGACCTTATTCCTCGGTGCCCCATAGATCTCTATGATGTGCTTCGAACTTCAGACGACACTAACATCACGTCCATAGCTCTCAATCATTTTCTAGTTACGAATGGGGTAACTTCATTTTACCTTAAAGATTTTATCACAAGATTCTCCAAAAGTTACTCTCAGGATCCGTGATTAATGGATGTTGAGATGCACTGTATACCATGTAATATACAATGTATATATGTTAATGCAAAGATGCAAAGATGCAACGATGCACATGCAAATGCAAAATGGGTGTGCAAAATGCGAGATGCAAATGCAAAAGGAATTGATCCCAAAAATAAATGTTCCTTGAACAATTCTTGAAAAACCGACAATGTCTCGGTACACTGGGGAAGTGAAAATATGGTTTATCTGTAAGTTGTCCAACTCCTGCGAGCGATTGGGTATAGCATCATCTTCAAAACTTCTACTTCGTCTCCTATTTTCAGCATTTTTTCGAGTTGGTTCGTGATATTCAACTGTTGGTTTCAGTATCGAATCTTCTTGAGTCTGACTTGTTACCTCGGCTGGCTGACGTCTGGCTTATCTCCTTAGTAGGTAGACCCTGTCTTAACGCTACTCGATCTACATAGAGGATCTTCAAAATTTCATCTAACCCAATGAAAGGCATTGTTGTGGGCATTGTTTTTCAAGAACCTTCTAAAAGATCAGTTATTTCAGGGATCAATACCTTTGAAGGATATGTCATGTTCATGCAAAAATGCAACAAAGCACAAGGCCAGACAAAAGAAATCAAGTTAGTAGAAACAAGACCAAAAGAATCGATTTAGTTGAAATGATTAGCCAAAGAAATGTAATATTAGCAAAGAAAATGAAATATAACTCAAAGTTGATACTGAAAAATAAAGCATACAAAGGAAATTAATAATCCTAACCGCATGCGTTCTAGTTCTCATAGGTTATCCACATGGCTCTAGAGAGGTAGGTTTACTAAATTCTCTACATGAGGCTGGGTTCTAGCAAAGGGTTCCCAAGCCATCCTTACAACCTGCTAAGGTTGACTCTGATTTTGGCCCATTACTGACTTGCAAATCGGATTCAACTCAGTGGATCACACCACTAAAAGCGTACCTCGGATCCGATATCCGGATAGGCAACTTAGGATACTTTCCAGAGATACTTTATCAGACCCACACAAGGAAGCTCAATGCTCCTCAAGAGGTGTGGCATTTCTCCCTATTTAGGTAAACCATGTTTGAGCTCGGGTTTAGAGCTATGATATGCAACAGTCCTAAATAAATTCACAGAAGTGTAAGCATTGACCATAGAGAAAATCTATTTTTTCTTTTGAAAAATCATAATGAACTGTAAATTAAAATAAGATAGAACTCATAATTTTGGAATTCTAAATACAGGGTAACCAACTCGTGGTTTGACTCTCAAGTTGTTTTAAAAACAAAACATCCCCAGCGGAGTCGCCAAGCTGTCGACACAGTTTTTCGCCCGGGCGGGGAAAGACTGATACTGACTCGGGGGTTTTCTTTTTAAAAGAATTTTTCGAAATAGGATGAGTCGCCACCAATCATTTAAGGTGTGTTTGGGGCACCATAAAAATCGGGTATTTTAATAAAACATTTTATTTTTATCAAAATACCAAGTTTTAGGGTCTGTAAAATCCAGAAATCAAGTTTGGGAGTCAGATACGCGTAGGGAAGGATTAGCACCCCACAAGCGTCCAAAAATTGGTACCTAGTTGATTACCCTATATTTAAAATCAGAAATTTTGAGTTCGATCTTTATTTAATTTGAAAATCATTACGGATGCAAAGTTGAAAATGGTATCCGTTTATTGAGACCGATAACATTCACTCCCAAGCATAAATTCGGAAGATCAACTATTGTACCTAATAACCGGATATTGTCTTAATTTCAGAAAACTTGATGTGATTTTGAAAAGGATGTCGACCTATTTCGGGAATCACCAGTAGTCACCCCCTGAGCATACTTGCGAGAGATATGCCATTAATTCCCTAATAAGTGAACATTGCCTTAGGTTTAAAAAACAAAATGCAATCAAACAAAGTTTTATTCATCCTAATTAAGCTAAGGGTAAATTAAGGCTTTTTCTAGCTTAAAGTGTCAAATTATGAAAATTAAGGAACCTCGGGGATTAAACCTAAACATAGGCTCTAATATTTACCCTATTTGATTTTTAAACCAATTATTGAATCGAATAATAGAGATGGTCCCTCGAGCATTTATACGAGGGTCGACTCGAATTATTCCCTAAATTAAAAGACTAATTTGAAATCTAATCTAAAGTAGAGATTCTAACATTAATTTAAATTACTTTTAATAAATATTACTTCGAATAATTAAATTGGAACCTCGAG